TCATTCAATTACATAAACCTACAGCCTGGGAAAGAGACTCGACAGTACATAGTAAAGTCAATGATCTAAAAAGTGGTGCTAAATAGGGCCAGTCTGAATGCAAATCTCATTGGAAATGAAATGATGTTATGCAGCTGCATGCCAAATTAGATGTTTCCCGAAGAAGGGAGCATTAGTACAGTTACTCTGGTATTCTGTCCGTCACAGTTCACTATTTTATCCCATTTTTCCCCGTATCACACTGAAAATCTTGAGCTGCAATGGGCAATGGTCTCAGTCATCTTGAGACCTCTGAGATCTTGTGTCTGTTTATAAAGAGATAAGGGAGAGAACAAGTCATCGCTCTGCACTGACCTGCAGTTATGAACAGAGTGGAAGGAAGAGATGAAAAAGCATCCAGCTCTTCTAGATCTGTTGCAGGAACAGAGCAATGGTAAGACTGACCGAATACTATGCCATTACAAGATGACACACCTGGTAATCCCTACTTCCATAAGACACCCCACACAGTGCTCGGACTTGTGCACATGTCAGTGAATAACAAGAAAGAAAGTGTCAGAGGCCAGAAGAAGAGAAGATGCCATAAACGCTCTTAGATCCTATCAGAAGACCAAAAAACAATGCTAATTTGGCACTGCCTGCCAATGATGAAGTCTGTAGTTCACAAAATGTGAATTGAGAACGGAGGGAATTTGAGCTGAATGTTTTTACTTGCTGGTGCTCTAATGCCAACTGCAAAATGCCCCAAGAGGGGGCCAGGACGTGCTGTGATTTGTTAAAGCTTCTGATCCAATAGAGAGATGTATGTTTAACTTGCAGATCAAAGAGGAAAAAATCAGACGAGACAAAAACATAGTCAGTCCTGCCTGTTGCTTTTATGGCACTTGACACAAGGGGGACCCAGCTGTAATTTTAGAGGGTAAAGAGATGAAAGAGAAGAGTCAAAAAAGGGAAGGCAAGGATGACTCAATCAATTCTGCAGCTGAATATGCAGAGACCATTTTAGGCTGTGAGTTGTTAAACCTGCTGGCTCTGTCCTTCCGCAAAATGCATTAAACAGGTGAATCCATTTATGTTCACATCCAAAGGCTGCTCTGCTTCCTTGCGGCCCCCACTTCTACACCATTCGTCATAAAGTCCAAATAACTTCTTAATACTCTTTGCATGTTGCTTTGAGATGCTTTGCTGAACCACTAGATAGAAACCTCAGACAGAAAAGTGGATCAGCCAGAAAAAAACAGAATCCAGATGGGCATGGCATTTGCTTCGGATGACATACTGAAAATCAAGATTCAAGTGTACAACCTGTGTTCCCATTACCTTGCAGAAAGAGAATATAGGAGGGACAATAAATGTGCTGAACTGTCTGCACTGTGCCTTTCTTAGCTAGCAAGAAAAAAAAAAAAAAAAAAAAAAAAAGGAAAAAAGCGAATATCTCATTAACTGAAATACTGCTACTGTGAAGCTACGTTAAGCAGAAGGATGTGGATTTCTAAGGGAAATGACAAAAGAGAGTAACTGAAATGAACCTGGGAAATAACTAGGTATTGAAATAAAGTTGTAGGTGACCTCACAATTACTTTAAAAGCCTTCCCCAAGAAGAGACATTATCATTGTAATTAGAACTTCATTTTAGTGGGGAAAATCTGTATTGCACAGCTGCCGCAATTCTCATTACAAGTGAGCAAATAGTTGTCCTTTGCTCAACATATTAAATCCCTATTATCTCTTCAAAGCATGACTGAAAACTGAGATCCTCACTTCAAGACTGTACTAGAGGACAATGCTTAAAATATTCTATTCCTCAACATGTAACAGTGATGGCATCAAGCACATCCATATCCTATGGAGGATATGCCCGTTTTCAGCCAGCGATGACTAGCTCATTAATGTTTTTTACAATCTCAGCCATGTACCTCAGTAGGATGGATGGAAGTCTTTACTTGGCTCTCGCTTCCCTCTACCCAGCTGTCACTTTTCCTGATACCTGCAGGAACTTAATTTTCTTTGAGATCTACCAGTGCCCCGTCAAATTTGGATGAGCTTGTTCAGTGGTTTTAGAAGTGATTCAGAGCAGGCCTTGATAGGTGTGTGGACAGTCCATAGTTCTGCCTTGGAAACTCAACTGAAAACATGTTAGAAACAACAATATAAGAAAAACAGAAGCTCCCACATCTTAGGAGGGCTAATTAGTACCTCGCACATGCTGATGGACTAATCTTGACTGGGCAGCTGTGAAACCCAGGGTGACACATATGCATTTGTGTAGCGATGTTGTGGGGCTTGGAGTGAGCGCTTCTCATAGAACATGATAAACCCCATAGGCTTCCACAGAGAACCCATAGAGACACCCTAGGACCTCCTGTATCCCACTAGGATCCCATACACTCCATAGAGACCCCATGGGACCATCCTGAGTCCCCCTAGTACTTCCTATAACACACTAGGACCCCATAGGCCCTATAGAAACCCAATAAAGACCAACTAGGGCCCCATACTCCCCATAGAGACCCCATAGGACCACAGAGGACTCCACAAAGTCCCCCTATAATGCTGTAGATCCCCATAGAACCCTCTAGGACCCCAGTAGGACCGCCTAAGACCCCATAGAGATGCATAGAGCCCCCAAGGCCTCCTGGAAACCACACGGAGACAACATAGGCCCCCATAGGATGTCACAGAACCTCACAGAGATCTCCTAAGAAGCTTTATGGCACCACAAGGCCCCACAGACTCCATAGAGACCTCATAGGACCGCACAGGACTCCACAGAGACACCATAAGGCCAATAGGACCCCATACGACTCCACAAAGACCCCACAGAGAACCCCTAAGTCCCTATAGGGCCTCATAGGACCCTCTAGAACACTCTAGAAACCATAGGTCTCAATGGGGTTTTATGGGGTTTCTATTGGTCCTATATGATCCTAGTGATTTTAGGAGATCCTAGGGAGTCTCTATGGGTCTCTATAGGGCCCTTGAGGGTTGTATAGGGGGCTATGAGGTCTATATGGGCTCTCTACGCAATGGTTCTCTATGTTTCTCTCCTACCCCTCAAGCACTACATCCTCCTGAGGGACAGAGGTCATTTCATGTTCAGAAAGCACCACCTCGCTGGAGGCCTGGGCCACCCCTGCACACCTTGTCCCCCTGCTGGACACCTGGGCCCCTCCTGTGACTTGTGGAGGAGGGGAGATGCGAGAGCCCCAGTAAAGCACATGCTGCATGCAAAAAATGAGGCATTGGTTTTATGTTACCCCACTGTTGGGAAAACCTATACCCGCATAGAGCCCTGGCTGCTCCCAGAAACTCAGGAGCCTCCAGGGGAGCACTAGGGGCTACATAATAGAGTGCGCAAGATGACCATGGGAAGATACATGAATGCCCATAGGGCCCTCCTGGCCAGGTGCACGGGGAGGCCCAGGGAGGCCGCACAAAATCTCGCGGGGTCCCCTGGGCCACCTGCGCACGGAGTCCTGAGGAGGCTGAATGAAGCCAGCTGGGCCTCCAGGGCTACATGCACACGGAGGCCCGGGGAGGATGCACGAAAGCCCGCAGGGCCACCAGGGCCAAGTGCGCACAGAGGCCCGGGGAGGCCACATGAAAGGATGCAGGGTCCCTGGGGCAATGTGAGCACAGAGGCCTGGGGAGGCCACACAAAAGGACACAGGGCCACCAAAGCCACGTGCGCACAGAGGCCCGGGGAGGTCACACAAAAGGACATAGGGTCACCAGGGCTACATGCACACGGAGGCCCGGGGAGGCTGCATGAAAGGACACAGGGACCCCGGAACCAGCTGTGCAGAGAGGTGCAGGGAAGCCCCACAAAAGCCCATACGGTCCTCGGGGCCCCATGTGCACAAAGGTGTGGGAAGGCCACATGAAAGCAGGCAGAGACACTGGAGTCACTTGTGCACAGAGGCCAGGGGAGGACGCACGAAAGCAGGCAGAGTCCTTGGAGGCAATTGTGCAGGGAGGCCAGGGGAGGTGGCACAAAAGGCCACAGGGTCCATGGGGTCATATGTGCACGGATGCCCAGGGAGGCTGCACGAAAACCCGCAGGGCCTCCAGGGCCACATGGGCACACAGGCCCAGGAAGGCCGCATAAACGGCCACAAGTCCACCGGGGCCACATGCACATGGAGGTGCGGGGAGACCGCATGAAAGCCCATAGGGCCCCAGAAGCCACGTGTCCATCGAGGCCCGGGAAGGGCACACAAAGCCTGCAGGATCCCAGCAACCAGGTATGCAGGCCCGGAGGAGCGGCCAGGCCACACGAATGGCCAAAGGTCCTAAAGGGACATGCGCACATGGAAGCTCGGAGAGGCTGCATGTAAGGCCGGAAGGACCCCAGGGCCACGTGCGCACAGAGGACCAAGGATTCCACACGAAAGGCCAGAGGGCCCTCCGGGACATGTGCACATGAAGGCCAGGGGAGGGACTCCAGAGCCATGTGCGCACGGAGACCCTTGGAGGCCGCCCGTAAACCCGATGTGCCCAGGGGTCCAGCTGCGCACGGAGGCCCGCGGAGGGCGAACGTAAACCCTCAGGGAACGGGGGACCAGCTGCGCACGGAGACCCTTGGACGCTGCACGAAAGGCTGCAGGCCCCCTGGAGCAACATGTGCATGGATGCCTGGGGAGGCCACATGAAAGTCTGCAGGGACCCCTGCGCACCCTGGCCCGTTGGAGCTGCACAAAAGGCCACAGGGACTACAGGGCCACGTGCACTCTGAGGGCCAGGGAGGCCACATGAAAGGCTGCAGTACCCCCGGGGCCACGTGCACATCAGGGCCCGTGGTGCCTAAACAAAAGGCGGCACGCGCCTGCAGCCATGTGCGCACGGAGGCCCAGGGACGCCGCACAAAAGGCCACAGGGCCCCTGGGGCGAAGAGCACATGGGGGCCTGGGGAGGCTGCACGAAAGGCCGCAGAGCCCCGGGGATACGTGCACACGGAATCCAAAGGAGGTGGAACAAAAGACTGCAGGGCCCACGAGACCATGTGCGCATGGAGGACAGGGAGTCCGCACGAAAGGCTGCAGGGCCCACGGGGCAAAGTGCGCATGGAGGCCCGGGGAGGCTGCAAGAATGGCCTCAGGTACCTGGACCACGTGCGCACGGAGGCCCGGAGAGTCCCCCTGAAAGGATGCAGGGCCCCCAGGGCCACATGCACACAGAGGCCAGGGGAGGCTGCACGAAAAGCCACCGAGACCCCGGAGCTATGTGCGCATGGAGGCCCAGGTAGGCTGCACAAACAGTCGCAGAGAACCCAGGTGACATCCGCATGGAGGCCCGAGGAGGCTGCACGAATCGCTGCGGGGACCCTGAGGCCATGTATGCACAGAGGCCCAGGGAGGTTGCATGAAACACCGCAGGGCCCACCAAACCACATGCGCACGGAGGTCTGGGGAGGCCACACAAAAAGCCACAGGGCCCCCGGGGCCATATGTGCACAGAGGCCCGGGGAGGCCCCACAAAAGGTTGCAGGACCCGTCGGGCCACGTTCACACAGAGGCCCGAGGTGCCCGCATGAAAAGCCGCGGGGTGTCCAGGGCCACGTGCGCATAGAGACCCAGGGAGGCTACACAAAAGGCTGCAGGGCCCCCTCGGCCATGTATGCATGGAGGCCCAGGAAGGCTGCACGAAAGGCCACAGGGACCCAGGGACCACATGTGCATGGAGGCTGGGGAGGCCACTCGAAAGGCAGTGGGGCCCCGTGGCCACGTGCGCATGGAGGCCAGAGGAGTCCCTGCAAAAGACTGCAGGGCCTCCGGGCCACGTGCACACAGAGGCCCAGGGAGACTGCACAAAAGGTCGCAGGGTCCCCGGAGCCACATGCACATGGAGGCCCAGGGAGGCCGCACGAATGGCTGCAGGTGGATGATACCAAGCTGCATGGAGGAACGACACTCCAGAGGGCTGTGCTGCCATTCAGAGGGACCTGGAGAGGCTGGAGAGCTGGGCAGAGAGGAACCTCATGAGGTTCAACAAGGACAAGCGCAGGATCCTGTACCTGGGGACGAATAACCCCAGGCATCAGTGCAGATTAGGGGTAAAGCAGGTCCTCAGTGAGGGACATAGGTGTCCTGGTTGACCACAAGTTAACCAGGAGTCAGCAATGTGCTCTCATTGCAAAGAAGGCCAATGTGATCCTGACCTGCATTAGGAGGAGAGCTTGGGGTGTACGCATAGGAGTTGTGTAGCTCTTGTAGTGCTTGTCTCAATTCTGGTTTTAATAACTCTTTCAAAGGAAGTTCTCGCCTAAACTTTGGTGGGAGGGAAAAGGCAGCAGGGTCCCAGCTGCCCCTTTTAGTCTTAATGGGGAGTAAGGCTTGTAGTTGTCCGAACAGGAGTCCTTCAGGTGTGAAGAAAGATTACTTTCCACATTCTTCCTGCACTGGAAGCCACCCAGAACTTAAATACTGGGTAGGTCTGCAAGTGGCCCACATCATCACTGAGGAAGCCTCTTTAATAAGGGAAAAGGCCAATTCTGAGGTGTTCAATTAGCAGTTACCAAGGGAGCTTCTTTTCCTAGCAAGATCAGAGTGAAATATTCCCCAATTGCTCTGTTTTTCTTGCTGCCTAAACTACAGCAGTTGTGACCCTGTTTCGGCTGCAATGGACTCTGCTCTGCCTGCTGAGGAGGAAGCTATTAAGAACCTCCTAGAGATGAAGGAAGAGGAGCAGGAGGTAGGTATGCCTTGAGAGCTGTAGCTGGAACAGCAGCTTCTGGATGCAGGGGTAAGGAAATGGCTGGGGAGAAATAAACCTGCCTGAAGGAGAAGTCTCCTCTGCTCAGCCTGCATTTTGCAGCTTCTCTGGAAGTGAGTGGTGGAGCAGCCAAAAGTGCAGGTCTGAAGACCCTCTAAGTAACCTGAAAAAATAAGCAAAATTGCTTGTTTGTTTTGTTGTTAGAACTGATACTTCTCTAAGAGCCTGGGCAATCTTATCATGGAGTGGATCCCATGTCTCAGGTGCCCCAAAACCTCATTAACTTGGCCTTCATGAGCTGCAGGTGTGTCTTACTGGCTACTGGGGAGTCTACTGTCTTAACACCCATATCATCATTGTCCGTTAAAGCCTCCTCTGCGATAATATGCCAACTAAACTGGAGCTGGATAAGGTTCTAGCAGTACAGAGGCCATCAACACTCATCTGTCCTTTGGATAGCTCTGTACCAGGAAAAACCTTTCTGGTATGGACCAGCTGTAGATATTAGTAGTGTTCTACAGCTTGTTTCTTCAGTGGGTTGCAGGTTTTAAGTGAATACACAAGCAATGGCTTGTCCTCGTTCAACAAGACCAGGTTACCAGAACAGGCAGAAAGGCGAAGCTTTGGTGCAGGGCTGCATAGAAGGCGCTCTCAGACTTGGAAGCCCCATTGCTTTACTTACTTATTTATTTATTTATTTATTTCCCCTCTTAAGGCGCAGTAAATGTGGTGGCTAACCTTACCTTGGTCAGTTCTGCCTGTGATATGGTTTCTACAGCTTATGTCTCCACCAAGGAGAGCCACCCCTATATCAGATCTGTGTGTGAGGCAGCAGAGCAAGGAGTGAAGAGCATGACTGAAGCCATAACTAGCTGTGTGCAGCCAGCTCTGACTACACTAGAGCTTCAAGGTAATGTGGTGGGGGAGGCTTGCACCTGCTTGTGATGGACAAATCCTCTTCTGAAGGGGACTCCTAGTTCTTTGGTTCCTTCTGAATCCGAAAGAAGCCTTTGAGTGTGTAGAGGCACCTCTCTCTTGCCTTATTAGAGATGGCTGCAGACATAAAAGAAAAATTAAGAAAGGTTGAGTCCTAGTTAATGTTAGAGAGTCTCTCTTCCTGCAGAAACAAGAGTTGATGTGGATGTTGACTCTGTTAAAACTCATCTTGGTAGGCCCAGATATTAGTGACAGCTGCTTACAGCTTTAAGGACCATGGATGCTGGAAGAGAAGCCTCCACTAGGAGGGCCGTCACTATTAATGGTCCTGTTCTCCGTGGCTGTCTTCTCAAAAAAGACACTCAACATGTAGGAAGAGGGTTTTATTTTTAACCTCATAGAGGGAGAGGGGCTGAACCTAATGGCAAGAGTCCGACAAAACAGCCTCTGGGACAGGCCTGCATTAATAAGTCCAGAGTGGGCTTCTTCTTGTTTACTCTGTAGTTCCACATCCTGGGGACATGGAGGCTAGGGCAGAAATAGAGGTAGGCAGCTGTCTGGCCAAGAGCTAAACAAGCTGCAGTTGGCAGTCTGAACTATGCAGCTATGCCCTGGCTAGTGCAAGTGGGTACTGGGTATTCTTAAAATGAACAGACTTAGTTCAAGACCAAGTGGCAGGAGGAAATAATACAAGCTGTGCAACAAAACCAGCTTATGTCAAAATGGATCTGCTTGAGTGTGAATTCTTAGCTACGATTCCTGCAAGGCAGTATGCTCAGAATGGCAGGATTTGCAAGATGAAATATTAGAAAAGCCAAGTCTGCCTTTTTTTCTCTCTCCTTTCTTTCCTGCAGTTGCTGTGGCAAATGAATATGCCTCCAAAGGTGTGGATAAATTGGGGGAGCACCTCCCTTTCCTTCAAAAGTCAGTGGACTAGGTGGGAACCAGAGGCTATGCTTTCCTTGGATGGGGAGGAGAGGAGTTGGTCTTTACAAGGATGAATAGAAATACCTCAGGTTCTTTTGAGAAACAAGTTTAGTACATAAAGCCAGCTCTCTTCTTACAAAAAGAAGATGGGGCAGTGAGCTAGGTCACAGCACCGCAGTTATCTGATGCTAGGCTATCTCCATAGGTTCTCTCTGACACAAAAGAGTTGATGTCATTCAAAGTGGCTGATGCCAAGGATGGTGTGAGCAGCAAAGTGATGGAAGTGATAGATGCAACCAAGGAAGCTCTTCAGAGCAGCATGCAGGCTGCCAGATTTGCAGTGACCAGCAGTGTGGCAACAGTTAAAGATCCCAGAGTGTGTCAGATGGCTGTGAGGAGAGTAGAAACTGTGCTGGAGGAAACAGCAGATGACAACAGCCTGCCTATGGAAGATGAGGATCTAGGTCAGAAAGGAGCATGTATGCATTTCTAATGCATGTATTCCTGCATTTCTAATGAGACTCCTGAAAATGAGGTTGCTAACATTGTTATTTAATCCATGAAATGGGTTTAAAAACTAACAGGAAGTATTACGTTGGAGGCTACCTGGTTCCTAGTTCAAGGTCTCCTGAGGTTTGTTTAGTTTTCTTGTTGATCATAGTCTCTACTCAGACACTTATTGTTTTTGTCTTTCGCCTCAGCCAAACTGGCAGCCTCTGAGGAGGGTGCTGACATAATGTCTGTGCAGCAGCATCAGGAGAAGCATAGGTACTTTGTGTGGTTGTGGTCTCTCTCTGATGAACTCTGCCAGTTTGCCTACCTGTAGTCAACTGATAAAATGAAGTGGGCCTGGCAGGGCATGCAGGAGACCCTTGCATAGCTTCACTGCATCATTCAACTGGTAGGTAGTGCCCTGCCTCCTTATTGGAGGGTGGGAAGGGGACAAATGGATGGCATAGTTTCTACTTCACTCTGACAGTCACAGCTGTGTTGGTGACTAGCTGGTTTCTGTCTTGAGACATACTGAACTTTTAAACATACTGATTTTTAAAATAAAACTGTTGTATGCAGAAAAGCTTACCCTCCCATTTCTTGTATCCTCTATTCCAAAGAGCAGGTATTCTTCAACAGATGTGAAGTGTACTCGAACTGCATTTTCCCATTAGATGATACCTGCCTTGTTGTGCACAAGAACTGATGGAGTATGTGAACAAAGGCCTGAGAATGCCTTCAGAAGTCTCTAAGCAATCATCTTCAAACTGCTAAGATGCCTCTGCGTTATAATTTTCATAGGTCTGGCGTTAGGTCTCTGCAGCAGCTCCATGTTCCTCTTGTAGTGGGGAAGCCAGAACTGCACTCCAGATGTAGGATCACCAGGGCTGAGGAGAGGAGCAGGATCACCTCCCTTGACCTGTGGCAACACTCTTCCTAATGCTGCTCAGGGTACCCTTGGCTCTCTAGGCCACAGGAGTGCATTCCTGGCTCAGGTGCATCTCTAATCCACCAGGATTCCCAGGTCCTTCTCCTCAGAACTGCTGTCTAGCAGGTCAGTCCTCAGCTTGTGCTGGTGCTTGGTGATATTCCTCCTTAGGTGCAGGACCCTGCMCTTGCMCTTGTTGACCTTTATGAACTAAATTGAACTTTATTGAACTAAATAWGCTGAAGAGGATTGGAGCCTRTGCTGACCTCTGTCAGAGKCRGCTAGCAACAGGCCTCCAACTRGACTGCAYATCACAAGCCTCTGAGCTCTGCCRTTCAGCCAGTTCTCAATCCACCTCACTGCTCACTCACCTAACCCAGACTTCCTGAGCTCACCTAGGAGGATGTTAGAGAAAGTACCAAAAGCCTTCCTGAAGYCMAGGTGAACAGCACGCACTGCTCKACCCTCATCTACCCACATGGTCATTCTGTCATAGAAGGCTATCAGTTTGCTTATTCCCTCAGTGWGTCCATGCTGACTAATGCTCATCACCTGCTTTTCCTCCCCATGATTAGAGATGATATCCAGGGTGAGTTGTTCCTGGGGGAAAATTGCTCAAGAAAGGGGAAATTAAAGAAACACATAAGGTCTAAGAGAAGTTACAGGAAGCTTGCTTGGGGTGAGAGACAGTTGACACCTGCAGGATGATCGGTAGATATGGAATCTCCTCCTCCACAATTCCCTCAGCAACACAGGCTGCCCTCCTGGCACATGCTAATAGGAGTGAAGGAAGAGTGGGGCACAATGGAGACACCACGACCAAATTGTGTTGTACTTCCTGCAGAGGTAGTAACCTGATGGGGTCATGCAGYTGATGAGCGAATGGAAGGYGGAGAGGATTAAAGACACCACAGGGAAACTGTTATACTCCCTGCAGAAGTGACAACTTGCTGGTGCCATGCAGCTGATAAGCCACATAGTATGACAGGATGTCTGSTGCTAGGCCAATCATGGAGGYAGATCATCCCTTCAAATGGTATTTGCTTGAACTTTTCCTCCTCATAAGATCGTTATAATACCAACACACACCTCCATCSCAAAAGTTGCCTGCCTCCAAAGTAGGACCACTCCTCACTGAGCATGCTCTCTAGATTTTTAATTGACTATACTTTGAAATGAAAGCAAGAGAACTTTTCAGCAATCAGGGACAAAAGGAACTATGACTAGAGTCACTCAAGCTCCACCTAAATGTAAAAKAAGATTAAAGATGAAATGAGGAGGGAAGAAGTTGGGAGGAATGCTGCAGTGGACCTTGTGCATTGGTCAACTAGCTGAACCTGTTTTTCTCCCCCTGAAGWCAGCATGGTGCCTGAGGAGACTCCTCCAAGTTGAGAAACCTCTCCCATCCTATTGAGGGAGGAATTATTGTACATTTGTAAAGTAGAGCTAGCGAAGAATCCCATGATATTCTAGGGAATCTCCTGTACTTGTGTCTGAAACCTGCTTTTTAAAAGTTTCATTGCAATAAATCATCTTATTCATGAACTTGACTACTTGTTTTGAAGGCAGTCAGACCCTGTGCTCTGTCAGAAGGGATGGGGACAAGTTCTTGGTGGGACAAGACTCCAGCTTGGAGTGGTGTCTTGGTGGGTTGGACTCCAGCTGCGCAGGCGAGAGGGGCTGTGCAAGGACGTGAGCGCTGGGGAAAGGGGMGGGAGTTGTGGGCAAGTGAGCAGAGAAGCAGAGAGTGCCTTTGGACKAGGCCWCYCTGGGCCCTCTCCTTGCCTGGGGCCATCCCAGAGCACTGCTGGGCGCTGCKGTGCASGAAGGCTCTGYGGTGCTAAAGCCCCTGAGCGCCTCTGTCTTTGCAGCCCGGGCGCAGAAGGCAGMGACTCAGAGACTCGAGTGAGCTGCTGAACTTGCCCCTTGGGGTGAAGATCCCTGTGGAGCYGGGCTCCARCACTGTCTTCTATCGCACCAGGCTGGGGGTACAGGTAAAAGCAGTTGAACAGGCTCAGAAAAGTCCCCTCTTCCTCCTCTTTCCTGTGCGGCACACCCTGAGCATCCTGCAAGATTCCTACAAGGAAGCGGAGGGACATGCTGCTGTCAGTGRGAGCTGCAGTGCTTAGTGTGACAGGGGATGGACAGTGTGTGTGCTGAGAGCAGGCAGGAGGTGCCAGGTGGTGGGCAGAAGTTGGGAGAGCAGGTCGCAACKTGGGTTCCGTGCTTGTGCAGGATCCTGCAGATCTAGTGCCAGCCTGGCRTRTGGCACGGGAGAATTGTGCAGTGGGGCCCTGCATGCAGCATGCAGCAAGGGGCCCGGGGCACAGTGTGTTAGCAACAAGGGTAGCGATGCTCATAGAGAGCCCAGGAGACTCTCTAGGAGCTTTCTCACTTCCCTCAAGCTGTGTGCATGCAGAGCTGTCAATGGGAAGGCTTCTCTGCTGGGGAAACATGTCAAGTACTCTTCTACATGCAGCTGTGAGATGGCACTTGTGGAGCTGGGGGTCCTCCTCAGCTGAAGCATCTGCCAAGTACAATAAGATTTCCTTTSGGAACGCTGCCCCTCGGCTTAGAGCTGAGCTAGATGCTGAGGCAGGAATAAGCAGAAGGCTCAGAGCGTGGAGAGCGCTAGTCCATGAGCTGACAAGGCTCCAAGGGGTCTTTGTGTATTTCCTCACCCACCCTACCCTGATTTGCCTCGCACAATGTCTCTCACAGCTTCACCGGCCATGCGAGCATTTTGATCTTGGAGATCCATACTGTCACTTGCTGGGGAATGAGTACAACAGTCTGCACGACCCCCATTTGCGGGAGTACTACAACCGCAAAGACAACCTGCGCAGACTGAAGAGAGAAGGTTTCATCACCAAGGACGGCCAAGTACGTTGTCCACGCGGCTGAGAAGAAGAGTTTCCACGGGAGGGGGAGGTTGCCAGAGTGCTTGCTGCAGCCCCTCCTTGCAGGTGGAGGCTGCAGSTCTGCTCTGCTGGTTTCCTGGAGCAGCAGGAGCCCACAGCTCACTCTGGGCATTCCCATGTGCTCCTGCCAGGCTGTGCAGCGCTGCCAGAGCAGCGGGTGTGTGGCCAGGCGGTGCAGCGAGGAGCCCGGCTCTGCACTGTGTGCTGGGAGCCGCACTGCCCATCACTGGCCCAGGCTGGGCTGCAGGAGAGCAGCTTTCAATGGCTCATGCTCCCCCTGGCAAGGCAGGCTGCGCGTGAGCACCACAAGCGCTGGCTCATTGCTGCCCTCATCTCCCCACAGGTTGTTTGCAATCTACGAGAATTCAACCAATACAGGCAATACCTGACCACGCTCAAGATAGAGCTTGAAAAAGCAGAGGGGCTAGAACAGGAACCTAAACGTTCACAGGTATGCTTTGCGGGGCAAAGGGTTGGGGCATCACTTCTTTTCTGCCAGGAAGGCATGCCCTGGAGAATTGGGAGAGGCTGTGCTGCTGTGCCWGCTCTTGTGGCATGGACAGGACTGCGTGGGGTCCGTGCTGAGCAGCTGATGCAGGGTGCAGGATTTGGGCGTGGGTGGGAAAGTCGTCCCAGAGGGCCCTCTGAGTGCGCTGAGGGAAGCCCTTCTCTTCTGGTCTCGGCCTTTCTATCCTGGGCAACAATTTTTCGGAAAACAGGACAATGCAGGGACCTGAACTAGCAAAGATTTCTTGTGCCTCCTCTCAAAAGGAGCCTTCTTCACACTCAGGTGTGGATGAGGTGCCAACAAGGCTGCGATAATAGGCAGAGGAATCGTGGGAGCCGAGCAGGCAACACCCGTAGCAACCAACAAGACACCACCCATGGCAGCCACAAAAACATCCGGAGCAGACAAGAGCACAACACCAATGGGAACCAAGGCCACTACACCCATGGCAGTCATGGCAGTCTA